AGGCAGGCCTGGGGGATAGTGGGAGGAAGGTGGATTTTTGTCATGTGCAGTAGCATTTAGTTGCATGCATTCTTGTATGTGTTGTTTCCCGCTTCCCTTGAAATGCTGCTGTAGGTGAGACGTGAAAGGATTACGTGACTCTCTCTTTGCTGTTGCAGTTGTCGTTCTCTTGCAGGGAGTTAATACCTTTTTCTTCCGTCTTGTTAAGTATTTTCAGTGCAAGTAGAAGCAAAGAAGATATTCAAGAGAAGAATCCATACAGAAGAGTGGTTAAGCCTGTAGGTGGTAATCTGGTGGCAGGGCTTTTGAGCTGGTGGTAGGACTCGGACGTGAGGGAGTAGTACTTTATCACAAATGATTTCCTCTAATCAGTTAAAGGAGCATTGCAAACAGAAGCTGGAGTGAGAGCAACTAGAACAGGCCTTGGACAGGACATACAGAGTGCTCAGAGGTGATGGGGAAGAAATTAGTAAGTTCACTTAATTTGTTATTCTTCGTAGCTGTGATTTAAAACCTCAGTTTTGAAATTTAGCGTTCTGCCAACTGAGCGGGTTCCTGAAATGGTCAGGTTTCAAAGCCTCTTGTTTAGGCAGTGCTCTTAGGGCCTGTGGTCGCTCCTAAGGAGAGGAGCGTATATCCTTGCTCGTCAGTATTTCAGTTCTGTTTAGGAGCTCTGAGCATTCATTCATCCCTTTGACTTCTCAGGGACTTCTCAGCAGCAGTGGTCCTTCTCTGCCTTCCCTGTATATATCCCTCCATGTCTTTTTGGGGAAACTTTAGAGGTTGAGGTCACCCAGTACATCGGGCTTTTAACCACAGAAGTACACGATTACAGGACAGAGCAATGAGACTCTTTAAATGGTAATGATGAGGGATAGTGTTTGTAGTGAAAGTGAAGAGTTTGGGTTTACGAGGATAGCCACGTGCATCCATAAGAGGGTCTTTTGTCCTGATGTGACTGACTCGTATCCTTCCTCTTTTTTCGTTGTACTTGTTGGACTCCTGAAGCATCAGTTGGTGTTGACTTGGCAATTTTGCTAGGAAATGATGTATAGTAATCTTTACGTGTGGTTATTGCCTAGCAAAAATAGCGAAAGATTAAAGCTTGCTTCTAGTGAACTGAAAGCAATGGTTTTTAGGGACCTGTTTTGGGACTATCCCAGAAAGCTGCATTGTTTCCTGCTGGGAGTACTTCCTCGCTGGTCCTTAAGGTATCTCACAATCAGTAGGTCTGTGGAATTCCTTACATGTGGGAGGCGTGAATTACCCTTTTCATACTTGGCATCGGGGAAATTTGGTTTCCTTCAGACTAGTGGTCTATGTATTAAGCTCCTTATAGGCTAAGGATGAAGCATCTTAGTGGCCGTGTCTTAGTCATTGACCAAAAGATACTGTACTCGAATGAGTATCTTGCGTAGGTATATCCTCAGGTATAAGCTATCTTTACAGATTTACTGCTAGCTGAAAGGCACTGTCTAGCTTCTGAAAAGTGGGTTTATTCCATCAGAGGGAAAGCTAAAATTCATTGCATCTTTGAAGCGATTTCGGAAAGACAACAACAAGTACATAGCTAGCTAAACTTTTTGAGCTTTGTTACTAGCTGCTCCTTCAGAATTACTTGGATCTGAGGGTGATGGTCCTTCTGTTGCTACGAGAGAGATTGATTTTTGGTTTGATTGCAAGTCCCTGTTTAAGGGAAGTTACCAGGATAAGCACTCAATGCAAAGAAGTTTAAGGTGGGGGAATATAAGGAAGATCTCTTTCTTATGACTGTTACTGTTACAGTGACATTGCATTTTATATTGGTGTAAATGTAAATGAGACCTTGTTCTGGCTTGCCTGGAGTGGGAGGCTCTCTTTTGCTTGCTGTTGGACACTGCTCTGCAAGTAGAGTGTCTCTTCTCAGCAGTTGCAGTTTGACTCAAGCTTTGGATTGGTTAGTACTGCCCCATACTCTTAGTTTTAGGGGCTGTTGCAGTAGGCCAGGCGTTTGGGGATTTTTTTGAGTGGTTGTAACAGCGTTAGTACCACGTACTAGAAAAGGACGACATTTGAAATAGACGCTCACAAATGTTTCACAGGAAATAAGGAAAGTCTTCTCTAGACAAGCGTGGCTTCTACATGTTGTGTTTTCTGCCAGGATGCTTTTTAGACCTTAAAAATCTACTGAATATATACTGGCTGGAGACTAGTCCAGGGATAAATATTTTTAGGATTGTGTCATTAGCAAGGTGTGAGGCTGTGCCCAGTTGAATTCACTTTTCCTGTTAACACCTGTGAGGAAGGACTTTGCCGTCTGCTATTTCCATTTGACATGACTTTTTTTTTTTTCCTTCTGGCTTGTCACTGCAGTGAGTAAAAATACCCAGGAACTTTTAGTTTAGTTTGGAGTTGAGCTGTCTGCCTTGTATGCCTTCCAGAACCAACTAGCTTCAACTGAAATGGAAGCTGCAGAAGTGGCTGTTAACTCCCCTTCTGTCTGCTTGAAGTTTTTGTTTGTTTGTTTTTCTTTTTGCCTCCATAGCTGTCACTGTTCAGGTCTCTTTCGTCTTGAATTTTTGAAGTGCCTGTCCCTTCTAATAGCTTGAATGTGTTTATGGAGTGGTAATCGTCAGTGTGGTTCTGTTGTGACTTCAGTCACTTGAAGTTTCTGAATAGCAGTAGCAAAAACTTAGTGTACTTGCAAATGACACAGTCTCAAAGCGATGTTATGAAACTGAGCTCTGGCTTCTTTACGGATTAGCAGTTAGAGATGTTGCCTGTGCAAGTACGTCTGCTGATTTTGTTGTGTTTTTTAAATTTTACGTTCTATAAGTTTTATCTTTTGTGCTGTGTATAAGTGGTCACACGAACAAGGAAGTGTGCTGAAATAATATGAACAAAACAAAGTGTTAGGAAAACCTTTCTCCTAATTTGTCATTAATAAAACTAGTAGGTCGGCTAAGTAGGCAGTGTATGTGTACTCTTAGGTTGGGAACATCCTTCTAATGCTTTCTTGCCATATGTGTGGCTGGCAGAAAGATTGACGTTATCTTACTGTGATGATTTTCAAACTGTGCTAGTCGGGCCGGCCGTGAAGTACTCTCATGAGTTCTGAGAGAGGCCACTAAACAAAGCAAGCCTTTTGGTAGGTGTAATTTGACTACAAAGGCATCTGTCTACACTCCTGCTGAGAAGTTCACCCTATAGGTGAAAAAGGGAGGAGAGAGGAGAAGAAAAAAACCAAAGTGTGTGTTGGGGGCGGGGGGGGAGGCAGAAATTCACTGGTCTGCAGGTCAGGAAGATGATGTTTGACCGGTCTTGTCAATCACAAGGATTAAAACCTTAAAAAAAAAAGCACTAATTTTAAATGACATTTCAAGGTTCGCCCCATTTAACTCCACAGAGCAAGCTTCCTGCCTACTCAGCATAGAAGGCGAAGGGAATGTTTTCATGATTTGCTTTTCTCCTTTTTAGACAAAGCACTTTATTACAAAACAAGTATCTAACATTTCATTGCTTTTTGTGATATGGCATTTTATGTCCAACTGTCCAAACATGAGTTTCCACAAACCTTTGATTGTTCAGACATAGTGTGGAATTTAGGAAACGCAACCAAAAGCATGGAGGAACCTATGGGTTTCAGTGTGCATGTTGTACTGAGAGCCTTGCAGGTTGTTGCCGGTTACTTAATACAAGGGGTGAGCGTAGGGGAGCGGCTATGTTGGACGCATTGCAGCCTGAGCATGTGTGCCTCCTATTCAAATGGACTCTGCTACAATCTGTGGAAAGACTGCCACCACTCCCATGGTGCGAGGGAACCAGGGAGAAGCACGTTGAGAAGCAAGAGCATGCAGGCTTTCAGAGAGCAGAGCATTTGAAACACCTGCAACTCATTTACTGTTTGTTGAGCCATCATGTGGCCACCCCTGACTCTACGGTGTTCTTTCTGTGTACCCAGCCATTGCAATTCCTGGTACCACAGGAGCGGTTAGGAAAAATTGGAGTGCTGGTATGCTAAAAGAGTCCCTAATTGCTAGAGCTGCCCTTTGAAGCTGCTGTTTATAGTGTGATTTAGAGCAGGTGAGAGGTTGTGTATTATTCCCTAGGACAGACTAGCAGCCCGAGAACTGGAAACTGCTGAGAGGCTTGTTCCCTGTTTTCTTGTGCAGCGCGTGGCGGCAAATGTTTGGCACTGTAGAACTGGGCTAGAGTACAGACATCAACTTTGATCCCCCTTCTCCCCTCCGTGTCAAATTAAACGTTTGCCCTACTTGCAACAATTGCTACCAAACCATGAAAGTAAGGAACATCGTATAGGGGTTAGCCTACTTGATCGACAGTGTTTTTTGGTAATTGAGATTTTTGCACTGTGACTTAATCTGGGTACAGTGCAGGTTTGCTAATAAGATTGGAACTGTTATCTGCTGCAGAAATCTACATTATGAGGGCTCTGAACTGCCAGCATTGGTTGGAATAGTTACAACTTTGCATGAGTCATCATTTTAAGGGATGAAGAAAGTTAGTTGTTCCTGTTATCTCAGGGTGTGGTCTGACTTCATTGCAAAGTCAATCAAATGGTTAGGTACCACTGAAAGGAAGAGTCCTACTTTACCCTTGACTGTCTATTCCAGATGGTTTTTTCCTGTGCTGTCACCATTGCTCAGATGGCTTGTTTCGGGAGTTAAATTGGAAGAAAAATTCATCAGTCAAGAGGTTAAAAGGTGCCAGTGTGTAAAGAGGGAGGGAGCTTACAGTTGGCTAATTTGAATATCCTGTTTCCTAACTGTGTTTTGGAGTAGAGGTTTTTTTTTCTTTCTCGCCTTGCCACTTATTTTTCTTTCTAGCAGCTGGATTTTTTGGCCAGAATTTGATCAAATTTTGCTGACTTTGATAGTGGGATGAAGAGCATTAAATAAGGACTTCACATGTAACTATACCTCTTTGGATAACATTGTCATATGGGCTGTTGGTGGGAAAACTATCTTTCAGGCGGTAATTCTCTGTTTTCTTCTAGTTCTTTTTTTTTAGATTTTGCTCGCTGTTGAAAAATGGGAGAGATAGAAGGAACATACAGAGTTTTGCAGACTCCTGGCTCTCGTTTGGGTGTCCAGAAGAATACCGGAGTGAGTACCTTGGAGCCAGGACAGAATCTCACTACTGCAATGGCGTTATCATCTGCCAAAACGCATGAGAAGGATCTACAGATCAAAATAAAGATGTTGGACAACACAGTGGAAGTACTTGACATTGAGGTAAGAGGGGTTTAAACTTGATTTCAAGTACACTTAACTTCAGATAATGTAAAGCTTAACAGGATGTGCTACTATACGCAGCTGGGAAATTTTGAGGTAATATCAAATAAAGATTCTTGTAGGGAACTGACCTCCTTACGAGTAGGTAAATGAGTAGTGCTTCTTGTTTTTAAAAAAAAATCTTTTATAGACAACAGATGTTTGTGTTTTTTTTTAACAGGCATGTATTTGAATACAAGCGCATACAGCAACAAGAATTTTTAACTATTAGTTGCATTGGGGTACACCAAGTATCTTCTGCCAGACTGTTCTTGCTTCCCGAGTCATACGCAGCTCTCTTGGTTTGGAGGCTGGAAACAAAAGGACTTAAATTTTTTTTTATTATTATTATAAATAATTTTAATTGTTTGTTTCCTCTTCTAGTAAACTTCTTTATGTTAGAAAGCTTTTGCCTGTTGCTGCATTTTGGGAGGGAGGAACTGGAGGAGGTGCAGTATTTCTGAAAATCAGTATTTAAAAGTATGCTTGTTTAGCAATCAGCCTTAAGACAAGTATGCTTGTTTAGCAATCTGCCTTAAGAAATAGAAGCAAACCACAGTCAAATGAGGTGGCTCTGTATTTAAAAAAGACTACTTTTTTTTGTTGTTCTTCATGTCCTTCTTTTGTTCTCAGGGTGAACCTCAGACTCTTAATTTTCGCTTGTATAAAGACCTTTTGTTAGAAAGCAGTTCTGTCCTGGTCGAGATACCTGATCTGTCAGATATTCTACATTAGTGTAAAATTGCTTTTATGATTAGTAGTTGTAGCCTTAACTTGTTGCATACACTTAAACAGGTTTTACCAAATGGAGTAAGAAGAATGTCTATGTAGCTCTAAGGAAATGGTGGCTTTTTTGTGATTCTATAGACTGATGTCCAACTGTTCAAATCTCAAACATGAAATCTGATTTTTTCAGTCATGTATGAGGCTTTGTCTGTATTCTTCTATCTGAGGACCCAGAAGGTGCAGCAAACCCAGCCATTCCTCAGTTACTCTTTAGTACATATTTAGTACATAGACTAGCAAAAGCCTCTGGAAGTTGCTGGAAGCTTTTTTTTTTTAATTAGGTTAGAATATTAAAAAAACAAAAACAAACAAACAGCTCCTGACTTTGACTGTCTTAGGTGAGATTTTTAAAGTTGGTTTAGATGTTGGTGGATTTTTTTTTTAATCGCTTGTACCCTTAACAGCCAGTGCAAGCCTACCATAAATGATTAAAATCAAGAATGAATTTGTAACTCCTAGTTTCCACTTGATTAATGGTTTCAATGACTATAAATCTTCTGTGCATTAGCTTTCCTTCTCTTCTTCCCTTTCCCTGTTATATTTTTACCAACTTTTTGTCTGCTCTTCTCGTGTAAACATCTTCCGTGTGCCTCAGTAACCTTAACCTCTTTTTTTTCTTTCTTTTTTTTTTTTTTTTCATAATTTGTAATTCTTCTTTCTGTTCTTGCTGGCACGGTCAAAGCCTGCTTCATTGTTTTTGATCTACAACCAAAATAAAACTCTATGACTCTACTTGCCTCTCAGACAACCTTTTAATCCTTTTTCATCTTCAAACTCAGTGAGGCTTGCAAAGTCTGCAGTTGCATTCTGGAGTTCTGTGCTAATTTCTCCTCTGTTCTTTAACTTGTGAGCATCCCTTCCTTGGTTCTCTTGAATTGTCATCTGCACTCGGTAAAGTTTAGTACTTTCGCAGTCTTGATTGTATATCATCCCAGTTATCTTCCTCATTTCTCTCCACTTCTGTTACAGGTTAAGTGCAGCTTCATCCTTAATCCCTTTTCTTCTCCTACAGCAGTAGATGGTCTTTTCACTGAATACAAATTCAACCACAGCTAAGTTCTTAAAGATATCTCAACCCTTGACCATCGCTCAATCCTAAATAAAATCAGCCTTTTCCTAATGCAACTTCATTTTGATATTTATCCATGAATACCAAGCTTTATGTAGCAAAAACATTAATTTCTTAAATCCTTTGCGCTTTTTGTTTGTTTGGTTGGGTTTTTTTGGACTGCTGTGGGTGAGACCACAGTCTTACATGTCTAACTAGTAAGTTAGTTAATCATTTACCTCCGATTCCTTCGTTCCTATTAGCTGGCCACCTCCTGCAGATGCTCTGTGCGACCTCTAGGATTGTTGCTGTTTATCCATACAGCTAAAACCCATCTCATCCAGGACCACCTCTTTCTACATCTTGATTATTGCAGTAACTTTCTCTTTGGCCTTAGCCAGCACAGTCTTGTTGCATGTGTGCCCATTCAGCATGTTGCAGCACAAGTCAACTGCTCAGTTGTTTTTCCTAGCAACTGTTACTGCCTGCCTGGTTTTTTTGCATCTTTCTGTTGGCTCCTTCTCTTTGTAGCTTCAAGTAGCTAAATAGTGTCTCTCTGTTTTCAAGGGCCTCCATGGCCCTACCTGTAGTTTCTTGCAAGGAGATACTTGACTCTATCCCGTAATTGGGCCACAGTACAGTGCCTGTCTTTTTTTTGTTTGGTTGGTTGGTTTTTTTTTTGCCATGACTGCAAGAAGTTTCCAGTAGTTGTAAACTATCTTAGATTTCTCCTTTTATCTAGAAAGCTCTCTCTGGTTATGACATTCACTGAAACATCTCAATTTGGGCAGCTAGCGTGCTGAGACAATTATTAATATCATAACTATCCTCCTTTACAAAACGCATGAGAAGGATCTACAGATCAAAATAAAGATGTTGGACAACACAGTGGAAGTACTTGACATTGAGGTAAGAGGGGTTTAAACTTGATTTCAAGTACACTTAACTTCAGATAATGTAAAGCTTAACAGGATGTGCTACTATACGCAGCTGGGAAATTTTGAGGTAATATCAAATAAAGATTCTTGTAGGGAACTGACCTCCTTACGAGTAGGTAAATGAGTAGTGCTTCTTGTTTTTAAAAAAAAATCTTTTATAGACAACAGATGTTTGTGTTTTTTTTTAACAGGCATGTATTTGAATACAAGCGCATACAGCAACAAGAATTTTTAACTATTAGTTGCATTGGGGTACACCAAGTATCTTCTGCCAGACTGTTCTTGCTTCCCGAGTCATACGCAGCTCTCTTGGTTTGGAGGCTGGAAACAAAAGGACTTAAATTTTTTTTTATTATTATTATAAATAATTTTAATGGTTTGTATCCTCTTCTAGTAAACTTCTTTATGTTAGAAAGCTTTTGCCTGTTGCTGCATTTTGGGAGGGAGGAACTGGAGGAGGTGCAGTATTTCTGAAAATCAGTATTTAAAAGTATGCTTGTTTAGCAATCAGCCTTAAGACAAGTATGCTTGTTTAGCAATCTGCCTTAAGAAATAGAAGCAAACCACAGTCAAATGAGGTGGCTCTGTATTTAAAAAAGACTACTTTTTTTTGTTGTTCTTCATGTCCTTCTTTTGTTCTCAGGGTGAACCTCAGACTCTTAATTTTCGCTTGTATAAAGACCTTTTGTTAGAAAGCAGTTCTGTCCTGGTCGAGATACCTGATCTGTCAGATATTCTACATTAGTGTAAAATTGCTTTTATGATTAGTAGTTGTAGCCTTAACTTGTTGCATACACTTAAACAGGTTTTACCAAATGGAGTAAGAAGAATGTCTATGTAGCTCTAAGGAAATGGTGGCTTTTTTGTGATTCTATAGACTGATGTCCAACTGTTCAAATCTCAAACATGAAATCTGATTTTTTCAGTCATGTATGAGGCTTTGTCTGTATTCTTCTATCTGAGGACCCAGAAGGTGCAGCAAACCCAGCCATTCCTCAGTTACTCTTTAGTACATATTTAGTACATAGACTAGCAAAAGCCTCTGGAAGTTGCTGGAAGCTTTTTTTTTTTAATTAGGTTAGAATATTAAAAAAACAAAAACAAACAAACAGCTCCTGACTTTGACTGTCTTAGGTGAGATTTTTAAAGTTGGTTTAGATGTTGGTGGATTTTTTTTTTAATCGCTTGTACCCTTAACAGCCAGTGCAAGCCTACCATAAATGATTAAAATCAAGAATGAATTTGTAACTCCTAGTTTCCACTTGATTAATGGTTTCAATGACTATAAATCTTCTGTGCATTAGCTTTCCTTCTCTTCTTCCCTTTCCCTGTTATATTTTTACCAACTTTTTGTCTGCTCTTCTCGTGTAAACATCTTCCGTGTGCCTCAGTAACCTTAACCTCTTTTTTTTCTTTCTTTTTTTTTTTTTTTTCATAATTTGTAATTCTTCTTTCTGTTCTTGCTGGCACGGTCAAAGCCTGCTTCATTGTTTTTGATCTACAACCAAAATAAAACTCTATGACTCTACTTGCCTCTCAGACAACCTTTTAATCCTTTTTCATCTTCAAACTCAGTGAGGCTTGCAAAGTCTGCAGTTGCATTCTGGAGTTCTGTGCTAATTTCTCCTCTGTTCTTTAACTTGTGAGCATCCCTTCCTTGGTTCTCTTGAATTGTCATCTGCACTCGGTAAAGTTTAGTACTTTCGCAGTCTTGATTGTATATCATCCCAGTTATCTTCCTCATTTCTCTCCACTTCTGTTACAGGTTAAGTGCAGCTTCATCCTTAATCCCTTTTCTTCTCCTACAGCAGTAGATGGTCTTTTCACTGAATACAAATTCAACCACAGCTAAGTTCTTAAAGATATCTCAACCCTTGACCATCGCTCAATCCTAAATAAAATCAGCCTTTTCCTAATGCAACTTCATTTTGATATTTATCCATGAATACCAAGCTTTATGTAGCAAAAACATTAATTTCTTAAATCCTTTGCGCTTTTTGTTTGTTTGGTTGGGTTTTTTTGGACTGCTGTGGGTGAGACCACAGTCTTACATGTCTAACTAGTAAGTTAGTTAATCATTTACCTCCGATTCCTTCGTTCCTATTAGCTGGCCACCTCCTGCAGATGCTCTGTGCGACCTCTAGGATTGTTGCTGTTTATCCATACAGCTAAAACCCATCTCATCCAGGACCACCTCTTTCTACATCTTGATTATTGCAGTAACTTTCTCTTTGGCCTTAGCCAGCACAGTCTTGTTGCATGTGTGCCCATTCAGCATGTTGCAGCACAAGTCAACTGCTCAGTTGTTTTTCCTAGCAACTGTTACTGCCTGCCTGGTTTTTTTGCATCTTTCTGTTGGCTCCTTCTCTTTGTAGCTTCAAGTAGCTAAATAGTGTCTCTCTGTTTTCAAGGGCCTCCATGGCCCTACCTGTAGTTTCTTGCAAGGAGATACTTGACTCTATCCCGTAATTGGGCCACAGTACAGTGCCTGTCTTTTTTTTGTTTGGTTGGTTGGTTTTTTTTTTGCCATGACTGCAAGAAGTTTCCAGTAGTTGTAAACTATCTTAGATTTCTCCTTTTATCTAGAAAGCTCTCTCTGGTTATGACATTCACTGAAACATCTCAATTTGGGCAGCTAGCGTGCTGAGACAATTATTAATATCATAACTATCCTCCTTTAGCATGTTCAGCTCTGATTGACCTCTTTAGAGTCTCTTGCCTTATGTTGTAAGGAATAAGGAGAAAACGCAATCCTTTATTACATCTGTAGAGCATGTAACGCAAAAAGGTCCATAATCAGCAACTGTAGCAGTAAAGAGTCCTTGTAATACATTACTACATCTTTTTTTTTTTTCCCTCAATAACTTAGCAAATGATAGCAAACTGGGATGAGATACCAAATTATAAACCCCCGCCTCCTAATTTGCTCAGTAGACTGGTGGTATAGTGGTGACAGCTGGTGGTGACTGTTGTTTCTGAAGGAAAATTGAAATTTTTCGTTCAGGGGTGGTGAGCAACAGTTTGGAGAGGTCAGCTGTATTTGCTACACAGGTGGTGTGGTTTTGAGTAGCTGTTTTTCTGAAAAAGCAATGAGAGAAATGCATGATTAAGCAGGGATCCTAGACAGGTCAAGGCTCTGATGTAGTGAGACCTGTCCACTCCTTTTTGCTTTTACAAATTTTTTTTCCACTGAGTCTGAGAGTAAAAGATTGTGTTGTCTTCATTATCTATTTTATGTTAAACATAAACTACGTTAAGCTTTTTTTTATTGATTCAGAGCAGCAGCAGGAGTTTCTGAATGTACTAGGACAAAAGCTCTGTTGTGGAGGGTTTGAATGTGAAAAGATGCAAATGTGTAAAGACCAGCTGTCCCTTAACAGCTTTCCTCTAAGCCTCCTAGTAGAAGAAAACAATGCATTTTAAGTGAGCAGACTCACGAATATGTGGGAAATTAATCTGAAGATATGTTTTCCCAAGCAAGTAGTGGTGCCTTCTTACTGATGAACATGGACCATGCTTGCATTAAAAGTTTACTAGAAGAACCAGAAACTGGCCTTTTGGTCTGGCTGTCGTCTTAAAATCTCAGGGTAGGAAAGGGAGGCTGTGAAGGGAAGCAGAACCCTTCAGTAAATTAAAGACCTTTACCTTCAGTAAATTAAAGACCTTTTCCATATATGCTGTTAATATTGCTTGCTGATGGAAATGTAGCTTATGGCAAAAAGCATTTTTTTGTCTGTTTAAATCATTTTTCTCGGTGTCTTAAACATGGCAAGTAACTTTTCACTGAGAGAAGTTGCGTGTCTGTGGAGGATACTTACGAGCATAATTTTTTGCTATTTGAAAATATGTTTATTTTTTCTTTAAGCAGTCAGTTTGAGGGGAAGGATTTTTCTTTTTTTTGTGAAGTTGCAGGGAAGCTGATGTAGGAGCTTTATTAACTGCCTTGCTTCAGAAGCTGCCGAAAATGAGCCACACTGGCCATTTTAACCCTATGGGATAAGCCAATAGTTAGAGTAGCTGCAATAAAGATCTAATCCATACAAATTTTTCTCTGTTATTCCCTCCTTTCTCCAGATGCATTTAAAACACTTGCGTATCTTGTGGCAGGCATTGGTGGATATGCTTATTTCCTTTGTAATTATGAAAATCTATGAGAGGGAGCCGTTCTTTAAAGTATGCTGGTGCAGCATACCCTTCTCTAGGGAATCTTTTTTGAATTTTAGGAGAATGAGGTATTCCTAAGTGTTTTCTAGAGTTTAAAAAGTGAAAATTGCAGGTTTATACTTTTCCCTTTTCCTCCCAAAATGGTAAGCAAATGGAACAAACACATCCAAACCTAGATTGGAATACTAATTCTTTTAATGAGACTTTTTTTCCTTTTTACAGCCAGCTTGTTTAGTTAGTTTAAATCTTGCATGTGCCATATCGAGGGACACCTATCCTCTTCTCTCTAAGTTAGGCCTGTTGAAACAGATGGTTTTGCAGACTGCTGAGGAATGATTGGCAAATTTAAGTTAGTTCAGATTATGGGTGCATCTCAAAGAAAAAGAGGCTTTTACAATAGAAGTTCTGCCAACGTTCTCAATTTTCTTAAGAGACGAAACTTAGAGGCCTTTGGTCAGCATAAAAATATGGCAGACTCTGAAGTAGAAGTGTCTGGGCTGTGTTTAATTTGCCAAAATGCCCAATTTAATTTTGCCCAGAAATTATAGCAGTCTGGTTATAAAAGATCTCATGCCACAAAGGAGAATTTAAGATAAGGAAAGTTGTTTTATGCTTGCTGAAAGCCTTTGAATTGTTTTATAGAAAAGCTACAAGTGGAGTGTGTTATGGTGATAGATATATGGCCTGTCAGAGGCAGAGAATATCGTGTGTGTGTCTGTGTTAGAGGAAACAATTGGTCTTTTTATATCGCGTAGCTGGAAAAAGTGGCGCTGATAGTAGGTAAGACTCTGATATTATCTTAAAATT